TCCACGTCATCATCTCTGGCTCCATTTCAGGCATCACTGCTTCTCTGGGTAAGGTCCCGCTCTCTGCTCTTCTCCCTTGATGGTCCTAGGGACCTCCACTCCTAGACTGAAAAGTTAATCACTCCCCTCCTTGCTATAAAACGTCTACCTTTACATTTCCAATCCTCACAATCAGTCCTGATAACAATTATTCAATGTTGTATCACAAGAGACCCGTCTGCATTTCATTGCATTCACCACACTTTTTTAAAGAAAAACTTTTTATTGTAATTTCAGTGAAAGTTTACGGAGAAATTGGTTTTCCATTCAACAATTCATACACATTTTGTTTTGTGACATTGATTGCAATCCTCACACTATCTTGGCACTCTTCCCATTTACTCTGCGTTTACCATTTCCCTTGGGCCTTTCCTATCCCTTCCTGTTTTCTGAGCTTTAATCCTGGGCAAGAGCTGGCCTTTTGATCTCATGTGCTTGATTGTCCTAAGGAATACCTACCTCCCTGACTTTACTGTTCACAGTATAGACCTGACTATTATTTGGCTGAATGTTGAGCCATGGGGGAGATTTCAGTTCCAAGCCTGTAGGATGACTAAGGGCCCTAGTCTTAGAGGGTTCCACCAAACTCTTATCAGACTAGTACATCTGTTGGATGGGTTTTTGGTGTGTGTGTGTGTGTGTTTAATGATTTTTCTGATTTTCAGTTTTGTCCTATAATTTTCTCCCAATTTATCAAGGACCTTCTCTGGTAATTCCTTCTAGAGTGGTCAGCAATGGCAGCTGAGCACCATCTACTTCTGTCTCAAAGTTGTGGCGGCTGAGGTTCATATGGTCCTTTGAATGAATTGTCTTTGATTTTCTTCATTCTTCTTTACTCCAGATGGAGAGCGACCAATAGTTACACTTGATTTTCTTTACTCGTCTTTGCTTCGGACAGGGAGAAACCAATAGTTTCACTTTAGATGGTCGCTGGTAAGTTTTTAAGACTCCAGTCACTGTTCACCAGAGGAGGACGTAGAACGTTGTCTTTGTGGACTATGATATGCCAGTTGACCTGATGTCCCCTGTGACTGTAATCTAAACTAAGTGCTCAGGCCCAGTGACTCATTCCCTCAGGGTGTTTGGTTAGGGCTAAAAAGTTTTCATGCTTTTACCGCCTGTTTGCTCTTTTATCATATGGATATATTTATAGAACATATACAAATGTAGAAATATCTGCCTATGCATGATTGTGGGTGTAGTCCTGTTTGCCTACCCATACCTGTTCATCTTGTCTGTCTGCCTTTGTATCTACTCATAGATTAATGTTTGCTATTACTGATAATGCAGGATTGTGTATGTAATAAAATTTACCTATGTAGCTCTTATGCACCTCCCCTAACTTCCTTTTCCTTAGTATTACTGTGCCTACCACCTCCTTTTTGTATATTGTCTTTCTCTTCATCCAAATTAGTATGTGTCTCTTACCTAGCTGGGAGTGTAATGGCTCCATATGATAAGTACTGGACTGTGAACCACAGGTCGGTGGTTTGAACCTACCAGCCATTCTGTGGGAGGAAGATAAGGCATTCTGCTTCTGTGAAGATTTAAAGCCTCAGAAACTCTATACATAGTCACTATGAGACAGCACTTAACAACAAACCCAGCTCAAGATTTTACCTCCCCTTCCCTCCCATCCCTAGTAACCATCAAAGAATGTTTCTTTCTGTGTGTAAACCTTTCCTTGACTTTTTATAGTAGTGAATTCATACAATATTTGCCCTTTTGTGATTCACTTAATTCACTCAGTATAATATCCTCCAGATTCATCCACATAATTGTTTCATGGATTCATTATTATTCTTTAATGTTGCATAGTAGTCCATTGAGTGCATGCACCATGTTTTGTTATCCATTCATCTGTTGATGGACACTTGCATTGTTTCCATCTCATTGTGATTATGAATAATATAGAGAAAATGGGTGCGCATATAGCTATTTTTGTCCAAGTTCTCATTTCTTTAGGCGTTATGTTGTTGTTGTTAAGTGCCGACGAGTCAATTCCGACCCATAGCAACCCTGTATAGGGTTTCCGAGGAGCAGCTGGTGAGCTTGAACCGTCGACCTTGCAGTTCAAACAGCTTTGCAGTCTGGCACATTAACCTACAGCGCCACACCAGGACTCCTGTACCTAGTAGTTTTCACTATACTTATTCAATTTATAGGATAAGCAAGTAATCTGATAAATAGTGGAGTCCTGGCGTGGCGCTGAGGGTTAATGCGCTGGACTACCAGGTCCGTTTGAACAGCAAGGTTGGTGGTTCAAGGTCACCAGCTGCTCCTCAGAAACCCTATTCAGGGTAGCTATGAGTCCGAACCGATTCCACGGCACTTAACAACAACAGGTATATCTCAGAGGTATTATAGGTTAGATGACAGACCACCACAGTAAAGCAAATATCAGAAAAGAACAAGTCACATGAATTTTGGTTTCCCAGCGTATATAAATTGTCTACACTATACCGTAGTCTACTACGCGTGCAAGGAACTCTGGTAGCGTAGTGGTTGCAAATTGGGTTGCTAAATTCAAGGTCAGCAGTTCGAAACTTCAGAGGTTCCGCGGGATAAAGATGAGGCTTTCTGCTCAGGTAAAGATTTACAGCCTCGGAAACCCTGTGCAGTGTACCTATAAGTCGGAACTGACTCTATGGCACACAACCACCACAACTAAAGTGTGTAGTTGCTATTGTTGTTAAGTGCTGTCGAGTTGTTTCCTAGTCATAGCTTTGGACATACTATCTTATGTATTTTGGATATACTATCAGGAGGATCGAGTCCTGGTGTGGCGCTGTGGGTTAATGCGCCAGACTGCAAAGCCGTTTGAACTACAAGCTCGGTGGTTCAAGCTCACTAGTCACTCCTTGGAAACCCTATGCAGGGTCGCTTATGGGTCAGAACCGACTCGACGGCACTTAACAACAACATCAGGAGGATCAGTCCCCGGAGAAAGACATCATGCTTGATAAATTAGAGGGTTCGCGAACCAGTGGAAGATTGTCAACAAGTTAGACTACACATTAGCTACAAGAATGGACTCAAACACGGCATCGATTGAGATGACGGCACAAGACAGAGCAGCGGCCCGTTCGGTTGTACATATAGATACAGTCGTAGAGTCGCTGTGTTCAGCACAGTGCAGAATGCGCGTGCGCGGCTCCAGAATGCGCTCAGAACGTCTAGGCGCTGGGGGCGTAATTTAACGTACCGTTTTTCTTTTCAGTGGTGGATTGGTACTTGAGCCTGTGCGCAAGCGCTATGTGGAAGGAAGCGGCCTCCCCCGCTGAGTCTCGCAGCTGCGTAGTTAAGTGTTATTGTGACTACAGGGCCGCGTACCCGGATGTTGTGGCTGCCGGGGGGAGATGGCGGAACCTGAGGGGTTGGACGCGGCCCCAGGCCCAACTTCTGGGACGACTTTTAGGGGTCGCCGCGCTCTCTCAGGCTCCTGGGAGCGGGACCAGCAGGTTGAGGCCGCGCAGCGGGCTCTGGTGGAAGTGCTGGGGCCTTATGAGCCGCTGTTGAGCCGGGTGCAGGCAGCCTTGGTGTGGGAGCGGCCAGCTAGGAGCGCCCTGTGGTTTCTGGGGCTGAACGCGACTTTCTGGTGAGAGAACTGGACCCTCAGAACCCCTCCCCCGCCCCATCGAGTCGCAAATTCATCAGGTTTTTCTAGGATTCTCTCTCTCGCTTCCTCTGTTTGTTAGCTTTTTTTTCTAGCTATACTGGCTCTTTCCTGTATCTGCCTAATATTGCCTTACCTCTTCACCCTAAAACACCCCCAGGCTTCGGCACCCCAATTCTCCCCGGAGCCTTCCATTTGCCTCCCCTGTGTGGTACATCTGGCTGGAGCTCCTGGGAACATCTGGAGGCGCTCGCAGTGAAGGAGAGCGCCTCTTTAGCGAGGAAAAGCCGTGCCCTGTGAGACCACCGCCCCCTTCTCCTGTCTGCCCCAGTGGGGTTTGAAGAGCATCTCCAGGAGGTCTTGAAAAGGTCTCCGTCGTGGGATAAGAAAGCCACGATCTGAATGAGCCTGTTAGATATCATCGCGCCCAGCCAAGGAAGTTTATGAAGTCTAAGTGTCAATAAGAACCTCCCAAACTGTAACTTGAAAGAAAATGATAAACTTTTAGTTATGAAAATCGTGATTGTAAGATTTCACCCATTTCAAAATCATTTAAGATCGCAACTCCTCCCTGATCCGAGGAACTAGACAGGCATCCTTAGCCTTGGCTGATAGGCAAGGAAATTGAGGCTGTCTGATAGTGCTTGTGTTTGAACCGTACACCTTGCGGTTCGCAATCTAATGCTGATTCTACAGAGCCACAGCAGGAGTTTTCCAGAGCGGGACAGGGTGGCTCTATAAACATGCCTGGACAATCTAGAACATGCCTGGACAATCCAATTCAGAGTGTCATAGTCTCTGAAATGGAACTACTGCTCCTCGTACTCATTTCTGATCATGTGGAAGTGGACTTAGGTCTCCTGGAATCTTTCAAGCATAGTTAGCACTCATCGCCCCGGAAGTAGTACTGATCCCATTCAAAGGGAACTGATGGGAGGAGAGCTGAATGAAAGAAGGAATACATAATGGAATGAAAGAAGGCTGACCTGGATAATCCTGAGACATGACAGAGTGTGTGTTTTTAGGTTTTAGTTTTTGACTAAAAATCTCTTTTCTCTAAAAATCCTTAATTTGAAAACTGAAACAGTTATTAGTGTTTGGAAAGAGTTTCAAGAATCAGGAGCAGAACAAATAATTCCAGGCTATGAAGTTAATCCTCTCCCAGTGTGAAGAAGACCCAAGTTGTAGGTGCCCCCAGAAATCCTGGCTTTGGTTGTTTTCAGCTGGTTTGATGATAAACTTTGCTTACTGCATTCTTATTTTCTGCTAGTGCATCTTTCTTGATCCCCAGGTACCTGGTTCTCTCCTGTTGCTCTGTCTCAAAAACTTTTCACTGTAGCACTTCATCCGGGACCATTTTCCAAAATGACCTTTTCTTCTCTTCCGCCCATGCTCCATCCCAACCTCTAACCCCAGCCTATCTGGTTAAATCTTTGTTTCCAACCGTGGGTTTAGTACCCATAGGAAGAAAAAAAATTAAACAAGTAGTATATGAAAGTATAAGTAGAGTATATCAAAGTATGGAGTCCTGGTGTGATGCTGTAGGATAAACACTAGACTGCTAACTGCAAGGCAGACGGTTCAAACTCACCAGTTGCTCCTCAGAAACCCTTTTACAGGGTCTCTATGAGTTGGAATTGACTCGATGGCACTTAACGATTACAACAACATCATATCAAAGTATGGCTGACTAATGTATAAAAACTTGGAATGTTTCTAAAGCAGACTATGGAGTTGAGATCCATGAGGAGCTGCTCTGATTGGGAAGCATCTTTTGAAGTTACAGTTAGCTTTAATTTGCTGGCCTCTGACCCTGTTTACTAAAGTTTACTGCAATGCTATGTTTAAAATCTCACTCTGAATTCCCTTTTGTACCCTGGATCTTTTAAAACATTGTAGTGCTTGGTCTTTATCTCTGACATTTCCTGGTAGTTTGCCTGCTGTGTATCCAGAACACAGGAACATTCTCCCAGTGGAGAGAGATACAGCAAAATGAGGGTGGAACTCTTGATACCGAAAAGAACAGTTGGGTATGCCATGGGAAGGAAGCCATTTGTGAAGAGAACTCCTTACCTCAGAAAGCTGCAGAATGACTGAGATAGTTGCAAGGCCTCAGAGACTTAGGCCCTTTGTCATTGGAGTTCACAGAGCTGTTTGTTTTGGGAAATGAGAGTCCTTGGAAAGTAGTCTGAGGTTTAAAAATGAAAGTTAGACTTCACATTCCAGAGTGTCATATTGAATGAACATGTGAACGTTGACATTTCACTTAGGAATGTCAACGACTGACTATTTTGTGTTGAGACTTAAAGGCTTAGGAAGAAGAGGAGGGTCATTAGCTAAAGTCAGAAATCAAATCTGAAATCTTTTATTTTTCTTTCATTGTTCAATTTGAATTGTTGTTGTTAAGTGCCGTCGAGTTGGTTCCGACCCATAGCGACCCTGTACAGGGTTTCCGAGGGTGTAAATCCTTACGGGAGTAGAAAGCCTCAATAATGGTACATTATTAACAGGTATTTTATAGGCCAGGAGACTTGTTGTTAAGTGCCGTCAAGTCGGTTCCAACCCATAGCTATCCTGTACAGGGTTTCCGAGGGTGTAAATCTTTACGGGAGTAGAAAGCCTCATCTTTCTCCCGCGGAGCAGCTGGTAGTTTCGAACCGCTGACCTTAGGTTCGCAGCCCGATTCGTAACCACTACGCTACCAGGCCAGGAGACTAGATAGGAGTAAAAAAAAAAAAAAAAAAAATCAGAATTCAGGTAACTTTTAATGTTCTACACTTGTGAATGTGTCTGCTTACAAAAAAAGACAACTCATCAAAGATGGAGATAATTGGAGATACCTTACCACTAAAATATCTCAAGGCTTTCACTTTTTTTCTCAGGTTCCAGAGAAATCATGGTGGCTATATCAGAGTTAGTCTAGCCTAGATTGTTTCTGGTCACGGGTACTGTTTCAAGGATAGCAGTGAAGTGCCAGGTCTTCCCTTCCTATAGTGTATAGTTTCATTACCCTCAACCCCATTTATAAATGAGTGATTTGGGAGAATAATAGCTGAGTCAGGAAGAGTATAATCCTGATAGGGTTAGGAAAGAACAGGTTCTGTGAACTTTTTGATTTGTCTCATAATGTAGGAGATAAAGGGGAGAGTAAACGAACCCTGGAAAAATGTGTGATCCCCAAGCTCACCCCTCTCCATGAAGTATGTACCCTGCTGAGCCCTTTTCTTTTTCTTTATTTTTTTAAAGAGTCTATGATATTAGGTGATCTGTGAACGGGGAGTATTGATTCCAAGCAATCCACAAGCTGATTCTCTGTTGAGATCTCTGTTGGGGCCTGCTTTTGTAGTCACTGGGCGCTGTAGGATAAACAATTGACTGAAAGATCAGTTTGAATTGCAAGGTTGGCAGTTCAAACTCACCAGCTGCTCCTTGGAAATCCTATACGGGGTCACTATGAGTCGGAACTGACTCCACAGCACATAACAACCACAGTTGGAGTTACTGTAATTCTAGCGGCTATTAGTAAAAGAAGGAGCTCTGGTAGCGTAGTGGTTACGAATCGGGCTGTGAACCTTAAGGTCAGCAGTTCGAAACTACCAGCCGCTCCGCGGGAGAAAGATGAGGCTTTCTACTCCCGTAAAGATTTACACCCTCGGAAACCCTGTACAGGGTCGCTATGGGTCGGACCCGACTCGACGGCACTTAACAACAACAACAATTAGTAAATTGAGTGTTTGCATAAATGAAAAAATAAAAAGTGGTTCTCTCCCTCACCAAGAAGCGAAACAAAAATCAGAGGCATGATTAAGGATATACAGCTATTCTGATTTGAAAGGTTAGAATTTTGAATAAAAAATAGTAGCGAGGCATATGCAATGGGAGGGTCTGTGTAAATAGAGATTTTTGTGCTTTTTCTTTAAAATCTATACATCACATTTCAGATTAAACCTATTGAGCACATGTTTCTGATCATTGTCCTTGGACGTTTCGTCCTACTGCTTTAGGTAGCCAAGGAAAGGCCCAGGATGCCTTGATTGACTTTGCCTCTTTTGCCTTCAGTTTTCATCTGCCCTAATTTTAAAATTGGTAACTTCCTCACAGTTTTCACCATTTCTCACCGTAGGTCATTAGCAGCCAGCTGGTTTTGTGCAAGCAAAAACTATTACAGTATGATATAGGCTGGATTCATTCTATCCTTCTAATTGACCAGTGCCTGGCTCATAACCACACAACCACAAGTACTATAATAATGGGCTTTCTGTACCGATAGGACAGAATGCTTTGTTCTGAAGTGCCATAGAGACAAGCTTACTGGAGAAATAGTATCTTCTTTGACTAGAAATAGATATGTGTTCATTTCTTTGTTTATAATTATGACAAACTATAACTTCTGTGTACTAATAGTGAGAATCCATGGTATATTGTTATTAAGTGCGTTCAAGTCAGTTCTGACTCATAGCGACCCTATATAGGGTTTCTGAGGCTTGTAAATCTTTACAGGAGCAGAAAGCCTCATCTTTCTCCCGCAAAACAGCTGGCAGTTTCAAACTGCTGACCTTGAGGTTAGCAGCATGACTCGTAACCACTATGCTACCAGAGCTCCTTCCATGGTATAGGTAACTTTAGAAGGGTTCTAGGAGGGGACTTCAACAAGTTTATGGAGAAGTTCCATTAACTTTAAATACTATTTTTCCGTGAACTTTTTGAAGCCCTCTTGTATTTGGTTCTGAAATTTTTTGTGATCTTTCTGGGTATTTAATTGATATTCCATGGTAATTTTACTTACACTGATAATTTAATTGGACTTTAGCTCCTGACAAAGGGGATAAACAGTTTATAAAATGAAAATGCAAAATAATCAATCAATGGTTATATAAAATTTTACCCTCAGGAGTAATAAAAAAAAAATGTAAAGGCAATGATTTACTATTTTCTGCTTGCTATATTTTATAAATGATAATAAGTTATATTGGGAGAGATAT